TCCAAAGGTTCTTTATTGTCCTTGTTTGTAATCACTTTCTTACTTCTATACACCGTCTGTATGCTTCTTTATCTGTTACTCTTTCTGCTTGAGGACTCTTCTGAGCCTTTTATAGTCTTACCCATTTCACAGCAGAAGCTATGAAATGGTATTAAATATTTTTTAAAACTACTTCACCTGTTTAAAAGAAAACATGACATCTCAAAAGGTGAAGGTGATAGTTCTTTCTTCCATATCCTCCTCATGGCACGTCCTTGGATAACTTTTCAGAAGGTATCCGCAGTTTTGCTTTAGTTTAGTTTTCTTAGAAAGTGGAGACATAACACTTTACTAGAATAATGAACAAGGAACTGATTTGCTTTAGGGCCTGCTCTCCCATAAACTCATTGTGTATTCCTAGACAGGTCTTTAACCTCATCAGTGTGTTGTTTTTGTGATGTGCAAAAAAAAGGTAGTGATAGTTTCTGCTGTAGCCCTCCTAGGGACACTGGGAAGCAGTGTAATAAAAACTTCAGCAACATTGTGATTATTGATGCTAATGGGAAAAATAAACTGATCTAACCCACAGAGAACCCAAGTCAATGATATTTCCCTTTGGTAAGCAGTTTAACATGTAAGCATTCAAAGACGTGATTCAGATAAAAATACCCAGCTCCATAGTGAAAGACTTTTTTTAGTATGTTACTTCTGGTTAGCTACTAGCCAGGGAGGTGGTAGCCCAGAGAAGGCTACTCACATATACAGAGCACCTGGAATTGATTATATGAGTCTGTGCTTTTGAGCTCTTTAGGCAACACATTCTCATTCCTGTCATTATCAGTTGAACCTTCATGCCACACATTTCTAAGAATTAAATGCCCAGATGGATTAAATGTAGTATGTGAATGTTCTACGTAAAAGCCAATAGAGTATACAAGTGACTTGAATGATTTTTCCTAACTTGTTTGCAACTGATAGCTCATATTGAATGTTTTTATGTAAACTTTGTATTGTTGGGAAGAATTACCCAATCAGAGATTTATATTTTCATAAATGTTACATTTAGTTAAATTTTGTTACAGAGTTGTTACACTAGAAAATTATTTCAGTCTTCAAACAATATACAGTCTTGTGTATGTATTATTTGTATGAATAAAAGATAAACTACTTAGATTGGCATGCTGTTTGTTTTTCTCCCCCATTTTTGGCAGATGTGATTAGAGACCTTCAGTAATAATAATAATAATAGTTCATGTTTACTGAGTGTTTATGTTAAACCATGCACTATACTTAGAGCTTTGTATGTAGTTAGCCATTTAATCTTCACAACAGCCCTGTGAAGTAGGTCCTGTTTGTATTCTAAATTTATAGTTAAGGAAACCTAGAAACAGGGGTCCAGGAAAAATAGATGAACAAAACTTCAGTGCACTCTCAATGTCTTTTTCCTTAACTCACAGTCCATCAAAATAGAGCATTTAGTATCCAGTAGGCACGTAGCGATCAATAATGACCTACAAGATATTTTCCAACTTGCAGGTGGGAGACAGGCTTGGCTCTGAAGATCACTGGAGGTTGCTCAGTTTTTTCAGGTATCCAGAAAGAGTTGATGAATTCATTCATCAAATATGTATTTGGTCACACATTTTGCCAGAAACACAAAGGTAAATAAAATAGCTCATGCCTTCTAGGATTTAGGTTTTAACAGGAAAACAGGTAGGAACAAATCGGTGTGTAAGTGCAGGGGCAATGTGTTCCCTCTGAAGATGGGGAGGAAGAAGGAGAAGGATGATGACTGAGGAGTCGTCTCGCTCATAAATTCCCTTTGGTGAAAGAATAGGACCAAAGGGAGCCTTCCCATATGCCCTGTCTTCCATCTCTTGTTTCTTGAATCTGCGAATCCACACATGCACCAAAAAATATTTTTAGGAAATAAACAGAACAGTATTGGTGAGTTTCGGTGATAATGCATAGGAAATAATTAGATGAAATCTTGTATCTGGTTGTCATAATTGTTCTCAGAGAAACTTTAAGGTTTTAAGAAAATAAGAAATTATCATTCTGATTTATTGCCTGCATCATGTGGCTGAGACTAACGTGCAATTTACCACCGCTGAAAATGATTCCATTACTCACAAAGGGTAATATCCTTTAGGTTGAAAAGGTTAAACCCCACTCCTTTCAGTTCTCAAAGAAAATGTAGAGACGTTAATAAATATTTGCAAAAAAGCATTTCAAATAAATAGAGTTTGTTTAAATATCTTCTTTCCTAGAGTCAAGAACACAACAAATACTGTATGTTTGCTATGCCCGATGCATTATGCCCTGGAATGATTTCAAAAGTCATGCATGACTCCTGCCACACAAAACCCTACAGTCTAAAACAGACACAGCTAAACCAGATGAGACTGATTTCAAAGTTTGTAAGAGTGAAAGCCAGGTACTGAGGATATACTACAGAGGAGCAATTAATTCAACCTGAGTACAAAAAGGTTGGCCCAGAGGACGTGTAGCTGAAGCTAGAAGAATAATTAGGATTTAGCTGTCAATACCAGAAAACATTTCAGGTAAAGGAAGCTGCATGAGCAAAAATGGGGAGTTGAATCATATTTCAGCCGACTTCAAATGCTGTTGGGATTTCAGACTTTATTCAGTAGTCAATAGTGTTACCAAAAGCCAGGGGCTCAGCCTAGGTAGGTCCTGTTTCTCGCTGCCCAGAAAGCCAATCGTTAAGGCAATGAGTGTTGTCAGGGAAGAAAGCTTTATTATGGATGATATTAGCCAGAGGGACAGGAGACAAGACTCAAATCTGAATCTCCCCTGGCTAAAGTTAGGGTTTATGTGGGGGAAGAAAACAGGCGGGGCAAGGAAGAAGAGCTGATTAACAGGCAGCAGGTGTCTAGCATCTCACTGTAACCTCCTATAGGAAAACAGAAATTAGCGAGGGTTGAAGAAGAGGAATTGGTCAACAGGCAGCAGGTGTAAGTTTCCCAAGCTTCAGCGCTATCAGCATTTGGCTTGTTGGAAAATTGGGCTGGTCTCAACAGGAAGCTAGGAAAAAGTGTTGGGGAAGGGCAGTTTCTTTGTCAGATGGTTTTCAGATGTAAGAGACCAGAAGCTGGGAGACCAGTAAAGACATGTCAATGATCTAAGTTAGAATATGTTAGAACCCGGTCTTAGAAGAGTGACAGTGAGACTGCTTAGAGGCAACTCAAGATTAATTTCAGGGTTAATGGATAGAGGTAGTTGATGAAGGGGAGAGAAAACTCAAATAATTCCAGTTCCAGTTGAAATTGAGTAGATAGAATTACAAATGTAAAGTGAACAGGGATGAAAATGAGGAAAATCATAAAATAAACTTGCACCTAGAGAGTTTAAGGGTAAGACATCCATCTAGCCAATTAGAAATATGCAACCTATCCCATGGAGAAATCTGAGATAAAAAGAACCCACTCTGTTGTTTCTTTCTCAGGTGCCCTTATTACAGTGCCTAATATGGTGTGGGGAGGTTTTTGCTTATAACATAAACTGATACCATAATCTTTTTAAATGTTGTTTCTCTTTTCCAACTATTTGACAAATTTGGAACCATGTTGATAAATCCACTCAAATAAATTAGCTTTTCTATCTTTCATAACTCATTGGCTGGGAACAATCTACCTGCCAATAAAAACATGAGCACACCTAAAAAATGAAATGAATCATGGTGTTTTCATCCTGCCATGCATCAAGAAACCATAGGCTTTGCTTCCATAGGTTTTGCAAGAGCCGCCTCAGATCTCAATCTGGCATTCCAAGAGAGCTGCAGGAAGCACAGATTACAGTTTGTATGGACACACGGAGGGGTCAGTTTCAGGGTATCAACATGACAAATTACATAATACTGGTAATTAAGGGATACAAATAAAAGCTGCACCTCTGATTTTATAGAATGCCAACCCGCACTATTTAATAGAGGAGGGGAACTTCACCAGCTACTTGTGTATATTCAGAGCAATGGTTCTCAAACTGGAGTGGGTACCACTTGCTAAAACAGATTTCTTCACCCTCTCTCCCCAACTATTTCTGAATCAATACGTCTGGGCTGGGGCCTAAGAATTTGAATTTTTACTACATTCCCTCAGATTATGCCAATGCTATTAGTCTAGGAATGGTAAACTTTAAAACCCAAGACAGGCTGGGCGCGGTGGTTCAGCTTGCAATCGCATTTTGGGAGGCCGAGGAGGGCGGATCGCTTGAGCTCAAGAGTTCAAGACCAGCCTGGGCAAGTTAGGGAGAGCCCACTCCCATCCTAGTCTTTAAAAAAAAAAAAAAAAATAGCTAAGCATGGTGGGCTGGTGGGCATGTGCCTGTAGTCCCAGGCATTCCAGAGGCTGAGGTGGGAGGATCCCTTGATCCCCAGAGGAGGAGGTTGCAGTGAGCCGAGATGGCACCGCTGCCCTCCAGCCTGCGTGTCAGTCAGACCCTGTCTCAAATAATAAATAAATACCCAAGACAAATACCAACGCCTTTTTGGACAGATAACCTACCTGATAAATGTTTCAATATCCTGTAGACACCAATTATGTGTCGACTTTATTGGACATGAATGCCGTTCATTGTGACAAAGGATGTAAAACCACATACAATTTCCGGCAACAATCTACCACTTTACAGCGTGCAATCCCAGCGCTGCAAAATTAGAAGGATTCAAAAAATGGAGTCTTCAAATTTTCAAAAGCCTGGCGAATGTCAGGTGAATGTGGCTGGAATCGTTAAAGTAGATACACTGAAAACCCAAGGACACAATGTCCATCCTTAGATAATACTCTGTCCAGCTCTCTCTCCAATATCCTGTTTTATTCTCTCGCTGGAGGAGTTGAAGAGAGAAGAGGGTAAGCTAGGTGGCGCAGTTGCTTAACACATTTTTTATTTATTTTTTTTATTTTTTGGCAAGCCCAGCATTTGCTTTGGAGCACAGGTGAAAAGAATGTCCAGTCCTTAAGCAGAGTTCTAGGGTAAAGGAACCAGTTCTCCATCCACTTAGAAATACGGATTGTAACAGCTACGAATGTGGAGCTCAGGAGATTGGATGCAGTGTTGTGGCCAAGGTCCTAAGACCTCAGGAAAAGAAAGGGATGGTGGAGGAGTGGGGGAGGAGGGGACAGGGAACCATGAGTTCACTGAACTCCCACTGTGGCCTTTAGGGTGCAGGCGAGTGTGTACAACTTCCCGGGCTATTATCGTGGTGATGTCGCCCCGACTGTTTCTTGGTCCATGTAGCTCCTACAGGGCTGGCGAGGAAGCTCACAGCTGGTCTAGGCGGCGAATGCCAGAAATGAGGAAGAAACCGAAAAACGCATGTTCGCGAGGTTTGGGAGTACACATCTATCTGCCAGAGTGCATTAGTTTATCCCCTACTCCAGTCCCAGATCCCAGGAAGCTCCCTTCTCTCCAGCGCAGCACTGAAGTAGGCACCACGGAGTGTCCCGGGATGGCAGTGGGCTGGCATGGTCGTTCGCGTTCCGAGGTCAACAAGCGCTTGGATTTTCTGCTTCCGTGCGCCCGGGACAGCAGCCCCGGCCCCGGAGACGTCGAACGTCGGACTCCAGGGGTTCGAGCCCTGGCCCCGCCGCATCCTCCAGGCGCGCAGGTAAAGGGTTACGCGTGTCGGGGAGGCTCGCCTGCGGCCCGGGCCACGTGACACGCGGGCCCAATGACCGCGCCGGGGCGGCCGCTGCGAGCTCGGCGGGCTCCCGGCAGCGCGGAGCTGCTGGCGTTACCCGGCGCGGCCGCCTGAGGCCGGCGAAGCCATGGGCGCCGCGACCCCGCCGCCGCCGCCGTCCGACCCCAGGTAGGGACCGTCCCCGTCCCGCGCGCGCGAGGAGGGTTTGAGTCCTGAGGAACTTGGCTTTAGGGCGCGCTTTCCCCCACTTCTCTCCGTGGTGCCTACTTTTAATTTTAATTTCTTGATTTGCTTTTGCCCTGAAAAAAAAAAAAAAATTACAGAATAGAGAGACGCAGTTCGGAGTTTGATGACTTTGGGAAGAGTCTCGTAACTCAACAAAGGGGCTGTAAAAGGGGCAAAACTGGAGTAGGAGGAGGCGGACTTTTACAGATTCCCAAACTAAACACCAAGGCGTTTGTAAAGCTTGGCGTCTGATTGGTTATGTGAAACATTTTTGCTTTTAAATCCCTAATTAATGAACTTTCAACGGTGCATGCGAACTTGAAAAACTGCAAGAGATTTTCCCTTAGCTCTCCCTCCCCCATTTTTAAGCATTTTTTTTTTTTAATAAAAAGGAAATGGAATGTGACCTCTGCTGTTTCTTTGAAATGTCCTTGGATCTCGGGATTTGCCCCCCCCCCAGGGGTGCTGGCAGCCTGGGCGGTGGGTAGGGGTGGGGAAAGAGGTCATGGTGCCAGGAGGCCGCACATAGTGAAAAAGAGGGTGCCAGGTGCAAACAGTTAAATAGTCACAAACTGTTTGCTAAATATTTAATCATTAGGCAAGCATCTCCGAGGTTGATTACTTGGGTTGCATTGACGTTGGCAGCCCTGATGAGGCGAGATTTTCACAAAGCACCGCTAAATAATTTTCCAGTGATAAAAGGCAAGAATCAATGCTTTTTACCCCAGCACGGCAATTAGCCTTAAAAATTAAAAAAAAATTTAAAAATTTTAAAAAACTCCTTCGGATGACTTAGTACATTTTATGTTACTTTCCATGGTGGCAGAGATATTTGCCCCATGATAGATATTTGCCCTGTGAATTTAGAGGAAGTCTGTGCTCCAGAGGTGGTTCAAATCATTGAAGAATAGAGGTTTATTTTCTTACTGTCACTATTCATGGGAAATATTACTGATGATCCGTCTCGCCCAGGTTTGTGGGTGTCCGTGGTGATTGCAATCAAGCAATCTCTTGTGAGGAATAATACCTGGAGAAAAGATGAGAAGCATTTGAGAGTTGAATGACAAATAAATGGAAAGGGGTTACTGCTATTAAACGTAATAGAGTCTATATTTGCTGCCTACCCCTCCCCACCCCATTTAATCCTTCAGTTAATACTATTTGAAGAAGGATAAGACAGATGTTAAAGGCCATAGACCACCTTACTGGTCCCAGCTGGGAAACACTGTCAGGAGGCAGATAATTGAAACAAGATACATAACTGAAACAATTTGAAGCTTAAAGTTAAGTTCCAGAGTTATTTCTATTTCCATAAAGTGTGAAGAGTGCCTCAGTCACTGATGAACAGATGCTGAGACAGCAAGGGAAAGTGTGCTTACTTCTCTTCTCAGCCCACTCTGTGTCCATCCTCTGATCCTGCTCCATCATTTATTCAGCACGTGTGATCCTGGTCCTCAATGGCTCCAGAGATTTAGATATATAATGATACCTAAAGAGAAATAGAGCCGATTCTCTAAAGAGAATAGAAATCTTTGCTGTGCTTCAAAGAGCTTTTTGCATATCTGGGATTGAAGACAAAAACTTGCATACTAACATGTTCTATTATCCTAAATGTGGAATGACTCCCTTGACTTCCCACCCAGACCCTCTCCGAGCCTGGACACACAACCTGGTTAAGCTCCAGCCAGAATCCAGTTGCAGCCTACGGGCAGGGCACAGGTAGGGCAGGGCACAGGTAGGACCGGCCTCTCTCCTCCTAGAACAACCCGCTCTTGGTGCCCAGAAGCCCATTCACTGTGTTTCTTGGAATAGACTTCAGTTTCCAAATAATTGGATAGCTGCCTCCGGGTAGCTGGATTTCCTCTCACTAGACTGTGTTTCACATTCCTCTAGTTACACAATTTTTCTGATAACCCTGAATCTTGGGATCTTTTAGAGTCTTGGTTAAATAGTAACTAATTACCTATGTCCTGCTTTTCTTTCTTGGTCATTAGACAGATTTTCTTTCTGGTTGTTCTTTTTGGTCATTAGACAGATTACATGCTTACAGAGAGACTTTCTAGGTGTGTAGAAAAGAAGAGTTGGGAAAAGTCAAAGGGGTCATCCTAGGGGAAGCAGACTTGGAGTCTTCCACCTATGTGCAGGTCAGATGGGTCACTCATTTGTGGCCTTTCTAGAGAGCCTGTCTTAACCCATGAGCCATCCTGTGGCTCTCATTGTAGAGACACAGAATGGCTCATTCCTTACTCTGCTGTTTAAGAGAATAAACTGTAGGCCAGGTGCAGTGGCGAATGCCTGTAATCCTAACACTTTGGGAGGCCTAGGTGGGCAGATCACAAGATCAGGAGATCGAGACCATCCTGGCCAACATGATGAAACCCCATCTCTGCTAAAAATACAAAAATTACCTGGGCATGGTGGCATGCATCTGTAGTCCCAGCTACTTGGGAGGCTGAGGCAGGAGAATCACTTGAATCCAAGAGGTGGAGGTTGCAGTGAGCCGAGCTTCCACCACTGCATTCCCGCCTGGTGACAGAGCGAGAATCCATCTCGAAAAAAAAAAAAAAGAGAATAAACTGAAAATGAAATCGTTCATCTACTTGCGCTGTTTTTGCCTGAGAATATCATAGTCCCACAGAGGCTAGTTAAAATCTTCAGGACTGTAGCTTATCAAATAATCTTTTCCTAAAGCATACTTAAAACACCAAACCAATGAATATGTATCCGAAGCAGAACATTAAGACTCAAAATGCTGACTCAGTGCTGTCAGTCATTGTAGACAGAGGTCCCTGAGCTACTATGAATATGAACAAATGACAAAAGGCATCTTGTATCCAGACTTCATCAGAAGTGGCGAATCCTGTTTTGTTCTGTGTGCAAGTGGTTCTCCAAAAGTAAATGAAACCCTGACCTGGCCTCAGAGACATCATGTGTGTAGACCCAGAGACACCAGACAACCGATGAGGTTCTGAGGACACAGTCCTTGTCTTCAGAGATCCTAATATCTTGGAAGAAACAGTTGAAGGATTTTAAGCAGAGCATATCTCTATTTTAGCGAGTTCATGCAGGCTGCCATGAGAATGAAACAGAAAAGAGACAAGCGAGACAAAAGGCAGCTGCAGCAAAAATCCACATTAGAAGAGAGAAAGAAGTGAATTGATTCTAAAGATATTTAAGGAAGCATTGGTATTTAAGATTTTAACTGTAAGAACCTGTTAGGTGACTTGAAATCTCTGACGTCAATTTACATGTCATTTCAAAATACATTTTCTCCAGGTAGATAAATGTAAGCTACATTTCACTGCAATGTTCTTCATGTGGATTCTAGTTCCTCTAGGACTTCTCATGGTTTTTAATCACAGAAAAAAGTTTCTAGTAAATAGTTGGCCAATTACATTTCACATTTTCAACAACCTAGTGCTTCTTTCTGCTGACTGAACTACATAAATCTGAAGGCAAAGCTAAGGTAAACTGTTGCCATCATATACACATTCTCTGATTTAGCTTAACTCCTTCTGGGAGTAAAAACACCCCAACATTTTATTCTTTAACACTAGTGGAACTGGACAGTAGAGTAGCCTTTCTTTTTTATTGTTTTTAGTTGACCACAACGTGGCCTGCTACGTATCACAGAGAAGATGGTATTTGTAAGAGTATCAATGACATGAGAGAGGCTATACATAATGCCTGTATGACAACAGAAGTCACCTTGGTTATTGACTCATTGCCACATGCATAGCTTTTTAATACAATGTGTATTTGGATATATTCTAAATTTATTAATTCGCTTGATCACTAGTTGCAGAGTAGATGTCTACACACAGGCGTTTTAAAATTTGATTTTGGTGTTCTTTTCCCTCATTTGATCACTGGGTATCATATATATCTTAGTTATTAATGTGTAGTAAATACAAATATTTGATTCTATATAGCTGTAAAATAGTGTCCCTTTTATTTGGCCAGATTGTCAACAACCTTAGGCCTCCGGAATATTTATTGTGACCTAGAAATGCATAAAAGAAGTCTACCTTTACCTTCAAATTGTTGGTAAGAGCCACATACTTAAGATTCTTACTAGAACTTATTTGGCATTATTTCATTTCTGATTCCTAATGAGCTTGGCTACCCGGGTTCCTGGTCCATAGCAAGGAGATCCACTTTATTGTTTTAACATACAGCTCTTAAGATAAGTATAAAATGTGGTTACAGCCAACTGCTAGGCAGCAAAGACAATACAATGAAGGTGGTCTGTGATTAAACCCTAAGTCTACAAGAAAAACGTTGAATAGTGTTCAAAACTATGTTAGAAAGGAATAAGTACTACATTTTGGTAAAAAGGACTCTTGATCTTTTTTTAGAGCCGGAAAATAACTTTAAAAATTTCTTGATTTAACCACTTTAATTATAGATGATGAAACAACCTCAAAGAGATTAAATGATTTGTCCAAAGTCACGCAGCTGCCCATTGGAAAAGCTGCTGGAACCAGAATCTCAGAGTCCCAGTTCCTGGTTTAGTCATCTTCCCACTTCTGACTAAAAAGCACAAATGTTAGTACTATGAAAAACTCATTTTCTGTTATTTTCCAAAATGTAGCCACTGCTTATTGAGAAATTACTTATATATTCAGCATCAGTTATCTATTGCTGCATAACAAATCACCGCAAACATAATGGCTTAAAATAACCACCGTTTATTGAGCTTGGGCTTCTGTAGATAAGCAGTTTGGGTGGGCTTGGCTGGG